TGCTTTGAGTGAGCAGGGTGGCAATGGCAGGAGCATGCGGCAGAGCAAAGCATCCTGAGCCACCAAGCAGAGAAAGAGGAAAAATCTCTTTTGGGGACACACTCCAAATGACCTCTCAGCACCTCCCTCTAGGCCACAGCACCTCTCAGGAGCACTACCTTGGGGACAGAGCCTCAAATACATGGACCTTTGGGGGTCATTGTGTTTGAAACAATGTCAAGGACAACAGCAGGAATGGAGGAAAAGACCATTGGGGGTCATTCAACATTTGAACCCTAGTAAGCCCCAAGCAAAACAAACAACAACAAAACAAGAAATATTAAAAAAAAAAAAACCTCAGAGCACAGGCACAGGGGAGGAGTCCATTAGAGGTAGCTGCAATTAATAAAGAAAATGAAACATTAAAAAAAAAAGTGTCTTCTGAGCCAAGTCTCTGAGTCAAAACTGTAGCCTACCTTGTACTTTTAGGACACTGAACAAGTCCGCACAGGACAAGGACCTCCTTCTTCTTGGTCTCCTCATGCTGAGCGTACCGCTGCCTTCCTTCAGGCCTCTCTGTTTCTGCTTCTCAGGGCTCAGCTCCTCGCCGCAGCCTTCCCAGCTCCTGTGCCCACTGTCAGGCTGCCTCCGCTCTGGTCTACACTTCTGCCTTGCTGGGTGACAGCCTGTCCCCTCTGGTCACCCGAGGAGTGTCTGTTTCATCCTCCGTAGTCTGCACTGTGCCTGCCCTTCTGGGAGGAGAGGAAGGGTGGGAGGGGGGATGCTGTCAAGGCCAGGGCTCTGGAAGCAGCCAGTGGAGTGCTGGTTTTCCCATGGGTTGTGAAGAGCCGTTCTCATGAGGCCAAGGTCACTGCAGGGGTTGGCGTATATGATGCATGCTGTCACCCAGGTGCTCAACAGGTGTGCTCAACAGGTGTGCATCGACAGATGTGCGCCAAATGAATTCATCCACTCTCACCTTCCCCTCCCTCTCTCCTCAACTGGTGTCCGCCTGACTCTACCAACGTCTTGCTTCCCGTCACCTCCCAGGGGAAGAGGAGAACAGGGCTGGTGCACTGCCATGGATCCATCTGCACCTGAGACCCCTGCTCCCTACACCTCACCCCGCATTTGAGATTCTCAACATTCACATGCACCAGCTTCTGCATGCAGTGGACGGCCACCTCTGTGACCCGATTCTATCTTGTTAGTTACGTCTGCCTCTGGACACTTTTTTCCCCCACTTCACTTGACTGCTTTCTGCAGCCTGATGTCTTTTGTGATAACTGTATGTTTCGTGGTTCATGGTTAGATGACGCAACCTCCTCCTCCCTTGTCCTTTCTGAGGCTTCAACCAGCCACAGGGTCACATTCCTGCCCTGAACCTTGTTGTGACAAGGCGCCATTGCCATCCCAGGTTCTCTGGCCTCCCAACTCCTGAATTCTTAACCCAGTGGGTCTCAGAGTCCAGAACCCCGACCTGCCAACGCAGCAGCAGCAGCGTCCCCCAAGCACTTGGTTAAGGTGCCTATTCTTAGGTCCCAGCCTAGACCCACTGGGTCAGCGACACTGGGGTGGGATCCAGCAATTTGGGCTCCAGCAGCCTCCCGGGCACTTGAGGCTTGACAGAGCTTGAGAACCATTGCCTCCTGCCTTCCGCCTTCCTCCTGCTTGCATTTTACTAATTTTAGTAGGAAACTTAAGATTTCAGGTCATTTTGTGCCATTTCGACCATTACACAAATAATTTTTATAGGCAATATAAAGCATCAGGATAATTTCCAGAGCTCAGTGAACTGTCTTATCCACGATAAAATGAGATGTAATGAGCAGATGGATAAAGGGACAAATAACCCATCAGCTCATCTCAATCAGGAGGGTTAGATTCTTCCTGGGGATGGGGACAGAAGTTTTTCTAATAATGCAAATTTTAAAATGCTGGTAGAGATATAGACAAACAGTACTTATGAATATTAAACAGACTTGGAGAGCCTAAATGGTCTTCTAGTTAATCATTCTTGGAATTACCAAGCATTAGGTATCCCCAGCTAATTCCTTAGAATGATGATGGACACATGGAGCTCATTACATTATTGTTTCTACTTTTGTGTCTGTTTGAAAAGGTCATAGTAAAAAAATTAATCTTGAAAGTGGCAGCAGTATCCTCTCACTTTTATCACTGCCCATCTGGGTCACAAATGAGATCAGTAATGAGTTTGTTGTGCCTATTTAATAATTTTAATTTTTTTATTATATGTGTGGGTATCTTTGTGTCTTACATCTATGTAGATAGAAAGACATGTAGGTGGATAGATAGATGGATTAGATACATAGTTAGGGGGCTGGGCATATAGCTCAGTTGGTAGAGTGCTTGCTTTGCATGCACAAGGCCCTGGGTTCAATCCCCAGCACCACATAAAAATTTTTTTTAAAAAAAGATGGATAGTTAGATAAGTCATAGTTATTAACGTTAATGTTGAAGAAATTGCCAAAAGCTAAGATACATGGTCGGTCTGTACATTGTTGCTACCTATGTCAGTTGGAAAATCTTTTAGAGAAAAAATTTCACAAGATCCATTTATAGTATCACTAGATGTTAGAATATTTGTACACACAGGGCTGGGATGTAGCTCAGTAATAGAGCACTTGCCTAGCATGTGAAAGGCCCTGGGTCTGATTCCCGATACCACAAAGGAAAAAAAAAAAAGAATATTTGCACACCTAAGATTGATTTGTTGGAATTTGTCCTAAAGGAGGAGAATTCTTATTTCAGAAAAAGATTCGACACAGGAAGGTAGTCCTCCCAGCACTTCTGTCATAGTCACATAAAGCCCTGGAAATCCCTCTGTGACTGGTCGTATGGAGATAGCTAAGTAAATGTCCAGATGTTCGTCAGTGTGATCATTAAGATGATGATTATGCAAAGTATGCTTAGATAGAAAGAAAGAAAACAAGACACAAATTTGATACGTGGTAGGATTTACAACCGTTAAACATACACACAGAAAACTATTTCTCTTAGGGTGATGTGATCGGTGCCTGATTTCTTTTTCTCCCATTTTTATTTTTCAATGGAAATATGCATGTAATAGTCATGACAGGGGAATTCCCGGAGCAATTGTTCTCCAAAGCAGTTTAGGCCTTTGGGACCTGGCAAAGGTCCTTAGAGTCCATAGGAACCTGATATTTTAAGAGTGACCACACCCCAAGAGGAGTGAACAGTGTCAGCAAAGCTTCTCACCCCCAGCTGCCTTCAAGAGAGCCAGCGTCACAGGCCGGTGCAAGGAAACCAGCTCCAGTGTCGTTTCTGTGGCAATTTCAACTGTTAGAGGGGATGCCGATCATCCGACTGCCTCCTTGCCCTCAGGAAGCAGAACCTGGCCCAGGCACTGAGCCCCTCCCCACAGGCCGTCCTGTCCAGAACTGGAACCTCAGGAATCACAGGGGTCTCCCAGGGATGTCTTGAGTCAAATGGCAGCTGTGTCATTATTCCACCCACTGGGAACCTGACACGGAGCTGCTTCCCTCAGCCTCAGCTTGAACGTGCCAAATAAATGCGTGTTCAGAGAACCCGGGGCCATCCCATGGTGCGGCATTACCACTGCACCCCACCCCCCTTCCCATGTGAAGACTCCCATTTCGGCTGGGTGCTTTCCACCACATCAGCCTTGGCCTCTGCACAATTCCTGTGTTCTTACTAATCACTGGTGATTGTACTGTTAATCCCAATTATAATATCGTCTCCTGCCATCGGAGACACCAAACTAAAAGAGGCTGAATGAAAAGAAGAAAGAAAACAGCCCAGTGTTCAAGTGCCAGGGCTTCCTATTGTCTGCTTCAGTTTGATTTTGTGCACACTAGTTATTCTTTTGTTAATGTTTAGAGAAGGTTCAGGTCCCAACACCAAATGAGTGTCCTGAGGTCATATGCTATCCAAAGCCTGTCGGTTTGCAGATTACCCTGCTGGACACACATTTCACTGAGCCAGTTCCAAGGGGGTCCTGGGCCACCATGTCTCACTGATGTGTAAAGTCAGAACTGTGGGGGGAACATAGCAAAAGCAAAGGATTAACTCTGGAGTCACTTCGCTTATCATCTTTCTTCCCGGGTTGGGTCAGGTGATAGCTTGCCTGGCCCCCCCTCTTCCGAGTAGGATGACTTTGTCTCGCATCTGGGTGTTCATTCACTGACTGGAACAGCTTTTAGTCCTCTTTAAAAATTAATTGTACTTTGATGTCTCATTATCTAAGACCCCCCCTGGGCTAACGTGAAATCACACTGAGGGGACTCTGATCTGACAAGTGGCCACCCATGGAGCCTTTGATCCTCTGCCCCTCGGGATGCTGGGTTGTGAACAGGACCAGCGTTGTTGTGATTGCTGGTTGGCACGGGGAGAACCCTGGCACTACCAGCATCCTGGGGCTGCTGCAGTCTGTTGAATGGACCTCAAGCTTGGCTGAGTGTTTCTCCACCTAGAGGTCCCCACGGCAGAGGTGAACAGGACATGGGATGAGTGTCTCCCTGGGACCCTGGAGCACCATGCACTCTGTGCTTGTTGGGTGGCACGAAGCCCTCGCCCCCTCCTTCCTGGTGTCTCAGTCTCTGAGGCCCACTGAGTTCTTCCAGCTTTTTAACAATCAGGAGAAGGGCTGGGGATGCAGCTCTGTGGTAGAGCGTATTCCTAGCATGGGTGAGGCCCTGGGTTGAATTCCCAGCACCATGCACATACACACACAAGACGATCAGAAAGAAAACTTAATTTGCTTCAATTTAAAAAAAATACATGGAACATCGTGTTGCTTATGAGAAAAATGGAGAAACGGCAGGTGAGTTGCCGAGGATTGTTGGAAGGAGCTGTCCTGAGGGTCGGACGGCCAGTGTCTAAAGATAAAACAAAAGTTCGAAAAGCCAAAGAATGGAAGTCAGCTTTGGACACTGACCTTGGTAAAGATGGTTCAAAGGGCTCTGAGGGTGTCCTTCCCTGGCAGCAGACATCTAACCCTGTGGCCTTCTCTCTGACAGATGGGGAGCTCTCCATATCCAACGAAGATGACTCCCTGGAAAACGGACCGTCCCTCAGCTCCAGCCAGCTGTCCCTGCCCGCCCTGTCCGAAATGGAGCCAGTCCCCATGCCGAGGGATCCCTGCTCGTATGAGGTGCTCCAAGCTTCAGACATCATGGATGGGCCAGGTAATGCCCCGGGCGGAGTCACAGCACAGCAGCCCCCAGAGGTCACTCTGGGGACCTCTGCCGGGGCTGGACGTCAGGTTCTACTCTGGGCCACCTAAGCATAAAGATCTGGATATTCAGATCAAACTGACCTCATAGGAGTGCTTCCTACATCCTGATTATAGGAACATGAGAAGAGTGTTTACACGTTGTTCTACAGTTTTAAACAAATCTTTCTATAACTGCCATCATTTTAAAGGAGATGTGTCTAGTTTTTGTAATATTGACAATTTAAAGTACCATTGTCTCATTTTCTTACACTCATCTCTGTTATGAAGGTGAAGAATCCCACATTTCTGTATAAATTAGCGCTGATCTAATTTGCCTGTTCACAAGGCCTGGCCATACCCCTAAATCTCTAGTTCCAGTGTACTGATTAATGGTTGTATCAATTTACTGGATACAACTAATTTAATTGTTGATTAAATCACATGCAATTTAGTAGTTAAGTTTGAGCCTGTTGGTGGGTGAATTTTGATGCCCTCTGACCACGGCCCCCCTCTTTGGTCCACAGTCACTCATGTGGCCAATTCTCAGCTCTCAAGGGGTTTGCACAGTGATACGGATGATACCGATGGGGTCTCCCAACAGGTAGGACTGGTACATGTGTCAGGAGACCCATCTAGGGCAAGGAACCTCTTGGCATACTTGGAGGATGGGCAGAGAGGCCACCTCCCTTCTTGTTTACCGTGTGCAGATTCATATCCACAGGGGGAGGCTGGGGGGATGGGGTGGTTCACAGAGTTCATTCCTGTGTTTTGCTGTGGGACTTGGCAAGTCCCGGCCACTTGGGTGGGCTCGTCACTGGTAATGAGAATGTCCCTTGAGACAGGGAGAATTTAGTGCTCACAGGGATTCTTGGCAAAGCATTTCTGCTGTGCAGAACAGTGATCTCCAGATAGAGGGAGAAAAGGAGGGCGGGGCAGAGGAGGAGTCATTGATAAGCTTGCTCATGGGGGCAGTGATAGAGGAGGCAAGAGGATGCGCAGCTGAGTTTATTCTCCCCTCCAGGGAATTTTCCAAAGACAGTGATTTATTATCATTTTTAAAATCCCACCTTCCTTATGACATTGTGATCAGGTGGATGTGATTGTTTTAGTGAAATCTGTCATCCCAGAGAAGTCATAGAATCTCACTCTGTCACACCCAGGCTGCCAACTTGGTAGGAAGGCGTGTGCTGTCCCCACCCCCCATGACAGCTCCCAACTTGAGCCCATCCCACGGTCCCCCTGGGGAAGGGAAGAGTCGGGCCCCTTGCAGAGCAAAGGGAAATGGAGAGAACTGAAACAAGTCCACAGGATTCAGGCAATGAGAGGAGAGGAGAGGAGAGGGGGTGAGGCGAAAAGAGGTATCCTCGAGCATCTTGGGCTCATGGATTCTTAGGAGCAGGCAGGCAGGAGATGTCCTGACAACCAGCCTCCCTGGAGGCTGAGGCTCAGTGCTGACCACTGGAGGCCAGAGGACCAACACTCAAGGCTTGCAGGTTCCACGTGAGCCTTCCACGCGGTCTGCAGAACCTGGGGTCCCAGACCTGAGTGCAGACACAGAGCAAGACCCAGGGTGACACCCGGACTGCACCAGCACCCTCCCTCTTCCCCCCAAAGGGCACACGGGCCCTGCGCAGGGGCAGCACTTGGTTCTGCTCTTGTTGGGCAGAGCTCTTTATCCTTGACCTGTGCCCTTTCCCTGCTGTTAGGTTGTCACATCACTGAGCATCCACAGACAGTGACAAATGCCAAGTTTGAAATGGTGACATGTTTGACCAGCAAATGTCCTTCCTGCTCTGCTTTCTCCCTCTCGATCCTCCCCCCCTCTTCTTTCTTCCTCTACCTTCCCTCTGCCTCCCTCCACGACCCCTCTGCCTTATCAGAGTCCCAGTGTCCTCGCTTTAGCTCTCCACGTGCGTGTGACAGCCTACGGCAGTGGTGTTCTGCTCTCTTGCTAGCGGGGCCACGTCCCTGTCCTGTGTCCTGGCTGACCCCCGCCATCCCCGGCCCCTGGTCTGCATCTGTGTAATGTCTCCTGTGTATCATGTGGTTGTCCCCTCAGTGTCTGAAGAGAGTCCCTCTGCCAGTGACTCTGGAGTCCTCCTGTCCCAAGATCCTACAGCCAAACCAGTCCTGCTACTGCCCCCCAAAAAACCTGCTGCTTTCTCTGGAGACCATGAGGAGACCCCAGTGAAGCAGTTGTCCCTTCTCAAGCAGCCCCCGGCCCTGCCTCCCAAACCCACTACCCGGATTGCCAACCACTTAACAGGTGAGTGGAGACATCCTCGGGGGACCCCCAGCCCCTCCTTCCCTTCAAGGGATAACGTCTTTCTCTCTCGCTCTTTGGATCCGAGGCCTGAAGGCCCCTCTCTGGGGTGGCTGTCTTGTGGGATGTGTGGGTGTTTCTCTGTGTGTCTTGGTACATGCGGCATGACCAGGATTTGTGTCTGTGTCAAAAAGCATTTGATATGCACCTGCCAGCCATCTGCCAAGAGCCCTCAGTCCTGTGTATCTGTAAATATGTGCGTGGCATCCATGTGACTGATGCAAGATTAGTTGCCTGGGCAAATAGATTCAGCATCAGACGTTGGCAGAGATAAAGAATAGTGCCTAGTTTCCTTCATAATGAGTGTGTCAGGCTTTTAAATGTTGTGTCTTTAACTTACTGATCTAAATACCAGTATAGTTCTATTAAAATTCTTATCAGAGGCTGGGGGTGTAGCTCAGTGGTAGAGCACTTGCTTAACAAGTGCAAGGCCCCAGGTTTGATCTCCAGCATGGAAAAAAAAAAAAATTGAAAATAAAAAATTCATTTCAGTACTGTCTATTCTCTTTAAAAAGGAAGAAAGAAAACCAGAGTCAATAGTCTGTAAAGTATTTGGGAATTGCTTTCAGAGGAAGAATAAGCTAGAAATATTGTCCTCACATGGATTCTGATTTTATTCTTCCTGAGGGGTTAATGAATGCATCCACGGTTGTTAAGCTGGGTACCCAGTGAAATTGCTTCTCACCGCACATTGACACCTGAGTCAGATACCACCTTGTGACCAGAGGTTATAGTATAATCAGATACTTAAAGATTTTAGAGAACCTTGATCATAATCCTAGCTATTTCCAATCATGTGTTTGGTATTTTTAAAATGTATTTATTCTAATTTGTTACACATTATAGCAGAATGCATTACAATTCATATTACACATATAGAGCACAATTTTTCATGTCTCTAGTTGTACACAAAGTAGAGTCGTGCATGTACTTAGGTTAATGATGTCCCTCTCATTCCACCATCTTTCCTACCCCCAAAACCCCTTCCTTCCCCCTCCTCTTTGCCCTATCCAAAGTTCCTCCATTCCTCCCATGCTCCCCCTCACCCTCATTATGGATCAGCATCCACATATCAGAGAAAACATTTGATCTTTGTTTTTTTGGAATTGGCTTACTTCACTTAGCATAATATTCTCCAGCTCCATCCATTTACCTGCAAATGCCATGATTTTATTCTCTTTTAATGCTGAGTAACATTCCATTGTGTATGTATACCACAGTTTCTTTATCCATTCATCTATTGAAGGGCATCTAGGTTGGTTCCACAGTTTACCTATTGTGAATTGTGCTGCTATAAACATTGGTGTGGCTGCATTACTGTAGTATGCTGTTTTTAAGTCCTTTGGGTATAAACTGAGGAGTGGGATAGCTGGGTCAAATGGTGGTTCCATTCCAAGTTTTCCAGGGAATCTCCATACTGCTTTCCAGATTGGTTGCATAAATTTGTAGTCCCATCAGCAATGTGTAAGTGTGCCTTTTCCCCCACATCCTCACCAACACTTATTGTTGTTTGTATTCTTAGTAACTGCCATTCTGACTGGAGTGACATGAAATCTTAGAGTAGTTTTGGTTTGCATTTCTCTAATTGCTAGAAATGTTGAACATTTTTTCATATATTTGTTGATCAATTTATACCATCTTCTGAGAAGTGTCTGTTCAGTTCCTTACTCCTTTTATTGATTGGGTTCTTTGGTTTTTTGGTGTTAAGATTTTTGAGTGCTTTATATATCCTGGAAATTAGTGCTCTATCTGATGTTCTTGTGTAAAAATTTGCTTCCATTCTGTAGGCTCTCTCTTCACCTCACTGACTATTTCTTTTACTGAGAAGAAGCTTTTCAGATTGAATCCATTCCATTTATTGATTCTTCATTTTATTTCTTGGGATATAGAAGACTTGTTAAGGAAGTCAGGGCCTACTCCGACATGATGAAGATTTGGGCCTAGCATTTTCTTCTATTAGGTGCAGGGTCTCTGGTTTAATTCCTAGGTCCTTGATCCACTTTGAGTTGAGTTTCGTGCATGGTGAGAGAGAGGGGGGCTCAATTTCATTTTGCTGCATATGGATTTCCAGTTTTCCCAGCACCATTTGCTGAAGTGGCTCTATTTTATGTTTGATATTTTTCTAAAGAGTTTCTACAGCATTTTATAGCATGCAGTGGGGCTGGTGGTAGGCATGAATATACCCCTCTCTTTTAACAGAAAACTGAAGTCCAAGAAAAATAGGTCCTTTTCCAGGCTGACAGGAATTCTTCAGTAGCAGCCTGATGCGACCCTGAGTTTCTCACCTCCTGCAGCGGCAGATGCTGTTCCTGTCCTAGTGGGGTGTCTGTCCGACTTCACCACAGACTTGCTCCAGACTGCTCAGCTAATGTTTAGTCCAGCCCAGTTGTGTATTTGTGGCAAATGTCCCTCTAAAGGGACTGTTCAACACATTAGTAGCCCTCCAGTTCAAGGCCCAGAAGTTTAAATCACAAAGGACAAATAGCCCCCCAAGCTTTGATCTGAGAGATGCCTACTGCCCATGTCTCTCTAGAGTAAAAATTGAATATTGCTGTACATGTGATCTTACCACCTGCTTTTAGCACTTAATGATACTTCGTGAGCTGATTCTCATGTTAGTAAATATTCCACAATGTGATTTTATTAGCTGCTTGGCGTCGATCAAGAATTACTGGGTGGGTCTCTCTCAGCTTCAATGCCTCCTCTCTTGTAAAACACCCAACAGTGGACACCTGCAACAGCCTACATCTATCTTTATAAGTATGTCCAGGTTTCCCTCATTTATCTCTAGGACTAGAATCGCCAAGTCAAAGTTTACGTGACTTTTAAACCTCTGGTATCAAATTTCTCTTAAGAAAGATTAAATATTGTCCAAAATAAACCCCTACATGACATGGAGCACATTTTTTTTTTATCCAACAGCCTTACTATACACAGAATACTGCACTAAGTATCAAAGTGAATTCTGCTCTGTGACAAGTTAATGAAGACATGTACAGTGAGCCCTCCCTGGGCATGGGTTCTGTATCCGTGATTCAATCAACACAGATCAGAAATATCTGGGGGGAAAAAATCATTTCTACACCAAAAGAGTACAAACTTTTCCTTATCATTATTCCCTAAATAATACAGTATGACTTTTTACAGAATACCTTGTAGTAGGTATTATGGGTCATCTAGAGATGATTTAAAGTGCACGGGAGAGTATGCAAAGGCTGCACCCTTTTCTATAAGGAACTTGAACATCTGTGGTTTTGGGTATCCATGAGGGTCCTGGAACCAGTGCCCCACAGGTAGCAAGGGACAGCTGAATTACCTGGATATAGCAAATAGAGTGCTCCGGACCCTCCGTTCAGAGTCACGCTACGGTTCAGGGCAGCCTCACATAGGGGCTCCTGGAGAAGGTGTGGACATATTGAACCATGAAAGTCGTGTATGGAGAAGGAGGGAAAGGATTCCAGGAAAGAAGACCCTGGGCTCAGAGGTGACAGTGTTGGGGTCATTGAAGAGTTGCCTGATCTGGGGTTCTCGGGGTGTACCGAGAGACAGGGTCACTAGGTAGGGGCATGTGGAGATGCAGATCCCCTTCCCTGGGCAGAGGAAAGCCTTCGGGGGTTTACGAGCACCAGGTGGTAGGACAGAAACTACCCTTTCCCAGGTCGCTGTGTAGAATGAGCAGAAAGAGGAGGAGGTCGGAGGCCAGTTAGAGAAGTGACGGAGGCAGCTCTGGGCTGTGTACTCCAAAACTGCTGGTAGAATGAAACGGAATGACCTGAGCCGGGAGGCTGCTCCCTCCGGCCTTGGCAGTCTGAGCTGGCAGGCCTCTGGGGCAGCAGGAAGAGCGCAGACCCGGGTGAGCATCACAGAATCCCGGAACTCACCACACCCTCTGATTTGTCTAGTTACCTAATGGATGGAGGCCCTCGGGAGCTGGAGTGGCTGCTGTCCATGGGACTCTGTGTCTAAGAGACTGAAAAAAGTCAGCACAGTCTCTCTGGCCTCCCCACTCCTTCCCCAGAGAGTAGAGTATGCTCTCTGAATATCACCGCCATACAACTTGTATCAAGTGCACAGAAACAGCTCAGTGGTAGAGCGCTTGCCTAGCACATGTGAGGCACTGTGTTCGAACCTCAGCACTACCTAAAATAATAAATAAATAGGATAAAGGTATTGTGTCCATCTACAACTAAAAAAATTTTAAAAAAATACATTGTATCCTTGCTGTGTACCTGGTAGTGTCTTAAATATGGTTAAAAAAAAGAACAACATCTTTGGAGAGATCTGTGGTCTGCGAGTATATTACAATCCTTTCGGGTCTAAACTCATTAAACTTATTTAATTTTTATAAGTGAGCGATCAGTCATAGTGAATCTGCATCACCACGAGGCAGCTCCATTAACCCTGTTTTGTTACTAATTACTCTAGAGACATCTGGGCCATGTCAGAAGGAATTAATAAACTCGGAATTCCAGAGCTGTAAATGGAGACGTATGAGTGTTAGCATGTTCTCGGTGTCTTGTTCTGTTGACATGTTTGAAAAGAAACACAGGATAATTGAAAGACCCCAGGGGTGATTAAGAGAGAGTGACAGTGGTTAATGATCTGGATGGATATGCTGGAGGAAATAAGGCCCTGGACCAGAGCTGCTGCCAAGTTCACGATCAAGGAGTGGCATTCAAAATCATCCCTACCTTGGCATTTTCTTCCACTCTCCCAGGAAGACACAGTGAGCTTGCAGAATATTTGCCATTCTTCTCTGCTCTTCAGCCTGGCTGAGAGAGGCTCTCTCAGATCATCTTCTTCTCTTGTTCTCTCCCATCTCATCTTCCCCACCATCAGCCTGCACAGTGGCATGTAATACAGGGTCAGGGGTTTGGGGGTATCAGATTCCTGCCTTTATGGAAGTATATTCTCCAGTGAAGCTGGTTGTGTTCTGAATTTGC